TTTTTTTTTTCCCCTTACTGTGCCCCTCCTCTTTCCTGAAATTTGTCGTCTTGCCTTGCTGATCACCAAAACAAAATTGTTCTTCACCTTTTAAATCCAGATGCATCCAGAATTCTCAGCTTCACTCAGCCCTACTCCATACAGAGCTAAAATGATGTGGCCTCACTAGCACAGTTTGCAGGCATTTCTCCTCGTGGAGGGCAAAGCCCTTTTTAAAACTTGATGAAGATTTTCCGACATGAAAGAAGTAAAAGAAGAACCTCAAATTGGTGGTTTGGCACCTCTCTGATGCAAGGCAGATGAGTTTCTCTTCTTTACAGCTTTCGTTCAGGAATGTCTGGAAAAACTCCAAAAATACAGAAGCTTGTGATAGAATTAACTGCTGTGCCATTGGGGGTGTGCCAGCGGCCAGGGTGGCACAGAATGATTAGATATGAGGAGTTGAGCAAGTTGTAATTTTGCGCGGTGCAGCTGAGCTGAGTTTGTGTCAAAATTTTTTCTTGCACAGAGGACTATTTGTCTCTTTCATTTGCAAAATCTTGGAATAATGGTCTTGAAAAGTATTAACGCAAATGGCTAATATTTAACGGTGTTGATGATAGCTGGTAGAGTGCCCAGAGCTGAGGAACTGCTCGTCATCTCTTGCTGGAATGAAGAGTATTGACTCTTCCGAAAGACTTTGGATGGCCTGGCTGATTTCAGTAGGTGCAGAAAACAGTCTGGCTTTGCTTGGAAGTGAGCAAGCACTATAGTGTCTGAGGGGTCTGTTGAAAGAAAGGCCTCTCTGTTTAAGGTGATACGTCCAGTGTGCAGACCTTTTCCAAAATAAATTTAGAATAAATCCATGACTTAATAGTTCTGTCTCTGCAAGCAGCTTGAAATAAGAGTTGCACCCTTGTGTAAAGCCTCCCTGCATTCTGCTGTTGATATTTTGGTGAAGTTCACAGCATGCTTTTGTGATTAGTGCAGCGGCGTCAAGGTTACTTAACTCTAAAGTCTGCGATGGAGCGCGTTATAAAGGAGGCTGTGTTTGATACTCAGCGTGCTTGTCACTGTCATACATGATCTTCCTTCTGGGCTAATGCCTTTTGATGGTTTGTAAGTGTGATGTTCTGCAAGATAAGAAACCTGAGCTTTGAGAACTGGGTCTTGCTAAAGATCATCGTTTCCATGATGGCTCTGCTGTCCCCTGAACCTGGTGCAGCTTGCTTCAGCTGCTTTTAAAATGCCGACTCAGCTTCCCTTCTCTGGGACTAACTGTTGCATGTCTTTACTCGGACTGAGGTGCATACGCAGGGAGGAAATACAGGTGCGTTTGTCGCCTCAAATTCTGCCCTGAGATGTTGACAGCACAAGTTTATGTGCTCAGGGGAAATCACCAAGCATAACTAAGAAAATACAGGGTGCTGTAATGATTAATATCTGACATGCTGTTACTTTTCATCTGTCTCTTGATGGTCTTAAATGCTCCTGACAGCGAGTGCTTTATGTGTAGGTGAGAATATTTTAAAATCAAGAATACAATTTATAAAAAAATTCACAAATTCAGCTGCTTAAAGCTGACCTCAGTTAAAACTAATCAACCCTTTATCAAATTTGATAATATTATCAGCTAAACATTATTTGGGTCAGGTGCTTCTTTCCAGTATTACATTATTTACTTTCTGGGTTTGTGACAAGATTTGTCTTGTGGAAATCTTTGTTAGGCAAAAGCATTTCAATAGCACAAAAAGTTTGATTAACTTTCTTATTGTAGTTTATATCCATAGATCTAGTTAAGGCACAGTGAAAAAGGAGCACTTACAGGAGAAATGATGTGACTAGTTCATAGACTGGGCGAGTCACACATCTTAGTTTTCCTTCTGTGAGTGTATATTAAGATAGAAAAAAGGACTTACTTGAAGGAAGTACTGCATTCATTTATACTTCATATAAACTTTCTTGATGGAATTATAAAAGACTTGAGGAACCTGTAATCCTGGCAGTAAAACCACCTCAATCGCATTTCTTCTGAAGTATTCTTAGTGCTAATTATTAACTTGCTTTTTTTTTTTTTCCCCTTCAGATCTATAACAGCATACCTGAAGTCAAGAATGTTTTCCAAGCTAACCCGCTCTCCGAGCATTGCTGTTCTCTGTCGAGGTGTTCATGCTTCGCTGAGTTCCGCCACCTCAGTTGCTACTAAAAAAACCATTCAGGGACCTCCGTCCTCTGATTACATATTTGAACGTGAGGCTAAATATGGTGCCCACAATTATCACCCACTACCCGTTGCTCTGGAAAAAGGAAAAGGTATTTTATTTAGGTTTCCCTGGGTGGTGTAGCTGGGATGGGTGTGTGAATGAAATGGGAGTGTGGCATAATGATTTCTGAACCTTTGGTGTGCTTTTTGGGGAGGCAGGGTTGGTGGGATTGAGATGATTGATGATATAAAGACAGCTAATTGCTGGTCAGAGAACTGAATAATGATGTGTAAGGCCACCTGGTAAAATTGTACTTGCTCTAAAATGATTTATCTAAATAGAGGTCTAAGTTCTGTGAATCTTCATAATTCCAAATAACTCGTCAAGAAAGTTGCAAACAACTTTTTTCTTCTGTTACCTTGTGTGGAGGTGTTTAATGTTAAGGTGAAAATGAAAAGGTTCATTGGAACCCTATTTTGGTTACTCTTCCTGTACTACTGTTGAACTTATATTTTCTCTTGTCTTTAGTTATGTTTAAGGGGCTCTCCTGGTTAAACTTTCTGAGTTTATATTGAAATGCTGTCAGCGTAGCAATCCATTGATTTTTATCAGTACGTGTTTTGACAGCTGACAGCTGTCAGTCTCTTATATTTTGAGATTATTTTGAGTTCTGTTGGTTTTGCTTTTTCTTTTAAGACCTCCAATTCTTATTCATTCTCTTGCAAAAGTACTCTATCTACTTTTTAGGAGCCGAAACAGGGACTTGGAGGGGAAATAATATTCTCATGTTACTTAGTAACTCAGTGAAATTGCAGCTTTATATGGGAAATGTTTCTTTTCTTTATTCCTCCTGGGTATTTATTTCTACTGTACTAGTTTTGTTACCCATGCTCTTCTTGCCAACTGATTATTTTGTTCTTGGAGAGCCTTTTAGATGTGCCCTAAGGAATAGTGGTAATACCATTTATATTTGACCAGGTTGTGTTTTAGCTCTTAGCTTATACCATGTAGTATTATCTCGTGTCTTCTTTTATTTTGTGTACTGACCATACCTTTGTTTTTCTAGGTGTTTACGTGTGGGATGTTGAAGGTAGAAAGTATTTTGACTTTCTGAGTGCTTACAGTGCTGTTAATCAAGGCCACTGTCACCCCAAGATTGTGAACGCTCTGAAAGCTCAGTCTGAAAAACTGACCCTTACATCTAGAGCGTTCTACAACGATGTACTTGGTGAATATGAGGAGTTTGTCACCAAAATGTTCAATTATAACAAAGTGCTTCCAATGAACACAGGTAAAAAAAAATTAATTTCTTGTCTGTGAGATTCAATGGTTTTGTCGCATTTGGTACTTTATCAATGGTTTGTCCCATGTACAAGTGGGATAATGGTATTACTTTATATTTTAGGAGTGGAAGCTGGAGAAACTGCCTGTAAATTGGCTCGGAAGTGGGCGTACTCTGTGAAAGGAATTCCAAAATACAAAGCAAAAATTATTTTTGCAGGTATGTAACATGTGTCTTACGAGTTGATGTATTGAGGAGGAAGAGAGCTGTGGCTGTAGCACTCTGATTTTTCCTTAAATAGTCACAAGGGATTATAAATGTATGTAATAGCCTTTAAGAAACACAGGTGATTAACAGGAGTGATTGTAAAAGCAAGAGATAGGAATGTGATTCCTATGGCAAACCCATTTCAGATCCTCTCCCTTGTGGAGGTGTGTGCGGCGGGGGTCGTTGTGCTTTGTCAGGAGCTGCTGGTCGTGGCTGGTTTTGCAAGGGAAGTGCAACAATGAGCTTAAATACAGGCAGGAAAACAGTTAATAAGGTGGATTATAAAGCTTTATAACAGCAACTGAATGTAAGAAGTGGACCTTATTTGTACTACTTAACCTTTTTAGGTGTCAAAAATGGATGAGTGACTGCCTGAAGTCACATGGAAAGTGCATTTAGTCCTCCGTGCTGTTTTTACTGCTGCTTGGGTGTGAAGTGCAGTATCTTTGTATTCTGAATTGTTTGATTTGATTGGATATGCTCTCCATTACTAAGATCCCGTCTCCTTAAGCTCAATATTTAATTATGTGCCAAGTAGTTGGAACAAAATAATAATCCTTCTCTTACCAAAACCCAGTGTTTTGGCAGGAAAAAAGCTCTCTTGGATAGCTTGGGTCAGAACAAAAAGTGGCCTTAAACATCAGTCCGGAGAACTTGCCGTAGATTCAGGGCTTGGTAGCGAGGCAGTACGGAGGAGGGAATGCTAACGGGGAGATGGCCTGCCATCACCACATCCTCTGCTCTGCTCCGCGTAGTTCTGTCTTCAGCCCTTCGTTTCAGGCTATGGGGGTTGCACGCGTGTAACCTTGAGGCGATAAGCGTGTGACTTAGCTGAGTGTGGCAGGGCTTGTTCTGCTGTGGGGAACGGTGGGATGCTGTTTACGTTGGTGATTAGGAAGGAGGGATGCCTACATCTGTAATAATTGACATCGGGATTTGCCTGCCAATTGGGAACGTCCTCTGCTCCTGGGATTACAGTTACAAAAGAAATCAGTGAGGGAAAGAAAAGGCTTGTAATGCTATGAAGGCACTGAACCCTTAATCTTCCTTAGAGTTTTTAAGCACCTTGTTATTGATTAGCTGAGAGTATGGCGTTGTAACTGAAATATGAAAATGAATACATCATAGTTTTTGGTGATAGTTGGTTCCTAGACATTTTAACTGATATTGCTATATGAAATAGTGCAATATCACAATATTTTTACAAATACAAATGGATTCCCTGGGAACTTTGAAATGTACAGGAATAAATTTTTTTGTTTTAGGCTTATTGGTATCTTTATTTTTAGGATCTAAATTATGATTGGTGTCTTATTTTTTTTTTGTCTGCATTTTGTGAGTAATATTTATATAAAACCTGTACATCTGCCTTTAAAAAGATGATATCTTCCTGAGCTATTTTCGATTTTTCAGACTACTAACAAAGCTTATGGAAATTATTTTGTATACTTGCCAAGTCTTGTAGTATAATTTTCTCTCATTTTTGATATGTGCTTTTGATATGTCAGCACTATGTATTTATGGCATCAATGCAAAATATTAAAAATCAGGAGAAGGATGCTAATATTCTAATGTTAGACAACTCTTAGAGTGCATTACCACTTGGAAAGTGTGATGTCCTATAAACTGTTCTGGCTTTTAGTCAGTTTTGTAACAATCTCCCTCTTGTGTTCTTGGGGTTTTTCTGGTGGTTTTCTTTTAGCTGGCAACTTCTGGGGCAGAACAATGTCTGCCATCTCGAGCTCTACCGACCCATCCAGCTATGATGGATTTGGACCCTTTATGCCAGGTTTTGAAGTGATCCCATACAATGACCTGCCAGCTCTTGAGGTATTGGACAATTTTTGTTCTCTTATAAGAAATCATCTTAGTGTTGCTTCGGTAAATGGCATGGTAGGAAAATCAGACGTTTATGCTTTGACAGTGTGATACATGTATCTAGGCATATATAAGAATCCTATGTGATAATTTCATATAGGAATTGTGGGTAAATTCTAGTTTGGTTTTGGTTCTCTGTTTTTCTTGAGGATGTAAAAGGAAAACCACATGATCTGTTTCATTTCCCACGTCACTAAGGTGTTCAAGGTACAAATGAAGAACAGCAGATAAACCGTAAGGGAATTCAGATCAGCAGCATACATTCCAAAGCCAGGACTTGGATTCTGAAACTAGTATCTTTACCTACTTCTCCAAGAAATGCTGTGCATTCTTCAATAGCCATATGAGTAGAACTCACTGAAGTTGCAAACAAGTCCTTCCAGTTTCACAACATCCTTAAAACCATGCTAGGCCAATGGTTCACTTAAGCTACTGAAAGCTAGGAATTCTGCATTTCCATGGGTTTTCTGACATCCATCCTCTCAATCTGTTGGGGAGGGTGGACCTTGACTAGCGTAAAATTTCCCACCCCCATAATGTGAGCTTGGGTATTGAAGAAATGGTGGTTGATGGTAGCCATCAGATGCTGGATTTTGGACGTGGGAGGCAAGAGGGTTCCAGCCAAACACAGATAGTCATGAAGCACTAGGAACGTTGGCATTGCCACTTTGTCACCATCTGGGCGCATCGTCTCCTTGAGTGTCAACGCGCTCTGGAGACCTGAAACACCTGTCAGACTGATAACTGAATTCGTTCTGTTTGTGGGGCAATACTGAGGAAAGCTGTAGTAAATTCATGCTGGGAATCGTTACATCTCTTGAGTCTCGTGGACTTCTAAACCTTTTAGAACTTGATGGCGCAAGAGCGGAGCTGTGGACTTTGCTTCAAGGTGACAAAATTGTTCTGGAGAGGCTCCGTTCTTTTTATTTGAGGTCTACAGGGGAAGCGTTGAGCAATTGTTTGCCTTGTATGGGGTAATGCAAAACTGAGTGTATTTCTGAGGTAAATTATGAACTGATCGGATAATCTGTTTGTCTGGTTTTGCAATTTTGAAGCTTTAATTTCCCAAGCAAGCACATTAGCTGTGTGGGGTTTTTTTTTTTTTTGAGGCAGGTAGTGACATAGGCTTCTGTGTTGGAACTGAAATGGCACTCGGGGTTAACTGCCAAATATGCTGTCTGCTACATGTTAAATTTGACCTGGGTAAAAGTTTCTTCTTTTTTCTTTTTGTCTTTCCTATCCCTGTGTCCGTTTCTGCAGCGGGCCCTTCAAGATCCCAACGTAGCAGCTTTCATGGTTGAACCAATCCAAGGTGAAGCCGGTGTGGTTGTTCCCCACAAGGGTTATCTTACAGGAGTGCGGGACCTCTGCACAAAACACAACGTAAGGAATTCGCTGTAAGAAGGTGGCTTAAACACCACACTGTTTACTGGCATATCTTGTAATGTTACCTCGTCTGCAGGGTGTGGGCCTTCACACACTCTTTAATAATTCCCTTTCCTTTCAGTTGAGTAGGGCAGGGATCCTTCTTGTATCCCCTGGCAATACCTTACCAGAAGTATTTCTTAGCTGTGTACATTTTTCACTGTTTCTTATTGCTGTCACTGATTTTTAAGTTTGTAATGAATGTTCTTGAAGCTTCCTTTATTTTAAATTTAACTTCTGATTTGTCTTTCATGTTATAAGTTTCTTGGGCCAGAAAGCAGTTACTGCAGTGTTTCTACCACGGCTCTCCAGGGACCTTGTTGCTGGAGTGCTTAAGCGCTACCAGGAGTTAGTAACAGTAGTAGGTCACAGAATGAAACACTAAAGAAAATGGTCAGATGCTCTGAAAAGCAGAGATCTCAGTTTTCTTTTCTTCAGCATTTTCTCAGATTCTGTTTCATACCACGTTCCTGACTCCTGAATGTTGTGTCCTGCCTGAATTCTGCTAAGAAACATTTAGTCTTGATAATGGAGCGTTACATCTGTAGTTGCTCTTCTGTGCTAGGGAAGACACGCTGCGTTACACTTGCATTCAGTGTCCCTGGAAGGGTGGGAAGATGTGTTTATATATATTCCCGTGTCCTTCAGTTGTCAGTTCTCACAAGCAGCCTGCCATGCTTTCTTGTTCCAGGACCAATCCAGTCAGGTTCTCCCGCAGGCACAGGCTACGTCCTTTGTAAGCGTAAGGAAAACAACAAACAGTAAATCTGGTGACTTACAGCTTTTAATTCCCTTGGTGTTGCCTGTCTGTAAAAATCAGTGATCTCTGTTCCGATAGAATTATGATTCCTAATTTGCAAGTGCTACCCATAAATCCTTTTGTACCTTCAGAGGAAGGTATTGACATATAATTAATAAAGTTTTCTTTATTATTGCTGCGATAGTCACCTCTCAGAAAAAATAAGAGCTACTTTACAAATAGTAGTACGTGACAATAGTGCAGCTTAGGAGAACAAGATCAAAAACTTGGATTTAGGGTCTCAGAGTTTAGACACTTATACATCAGACTACAAAACCTGCAGAGTTCCTAAATTGTCATTTTTCAGAAGCTCTCAAAAATCAGTGTATGGACGATGCACTGGGAGCAAAGATGGATGAATCCTAACTTTTTGGAAATCCCACTCCTTATTATAATCACAGATTTTGGTGGGACAACCCTATGTGCCAAATGACTTAAGTAGAAAAGAATATGCTAAAAACATTGGAGAGAGAGGACAGTATGTTCTCTTGTTAGTATTTTGAATTTTCCTGGAATATGTAAGTCTGCAGGAGGTTTAAAGAGGTACCTTTGTGTACGTAGCTTAATGCAGCCGGAAGGTCTGTCGCTGCGTGCAGTTACGCTGTACGGGCTGAACTGAGTCAGGAATGGGAGTGAAAGTCATTCTCACTCATGTGTGGGTTTTTCTTCTTTCTGTCTCCATAAAGGTTCTGTTCATCGCTGATGAAGTACAGACTGGTTTAGCCAGAACAGGGAAAATGCTAGCTGTTGACCACGAAAACGTGAGACCTGACCTAGTTCTTCTTGGAAAGGCCCTTTCTGGTGGCTTATACCCTGTGAGTAACAGACAAATACCCATTTGTTGAATAACGGTTTTTAAGTAATTAACCCTGAAAGTTTACAGGTTGGAAGACAAACAAATCTGCTGTTTGTTGTGCTTGGAAATTGGTGTCTAATAGATTAACTGTGATTTATGACGCAGGTAGTCCAACCCGTGAGAGACACGTCAGAAAATAATGGAATGCATAATGTTGCGTTTATAGCTGAAATGATTATATAGTATCCTCAGCTTTCTGCATTGATCCTTGACTACTTAGGGTGACAAGTTGTTAGATACCATCCTCTTAGGCTGGTGATATTTTTTAAGTGTTTTGCCCTTTTTGATTGATGGAATAGATTTGGCGTATCTGTTTTCTTCAGTTCGATATTATGCTATCAGGAAAGATCACTGTCCAGTGGTCAGCCTTTCGTTCTGGAATTACTGGTTAGTCTTTTGGACTCTCTGGAGAGCAATTTCGCACAATCTTGCTGTGATTAATTTCTCGATGAATTATGTAAAGGAAAAAAAATATGTAATGTGTGTTAAAACATATATTATAAACCTATTTCTGAACAACTGGCATTGTTTCACTTGCTTGGCATGCCCGCATGACTGGTTTTATCCTCTTTGGAGCGACTTTAAATTCCTGCTAAAGTTACAGCCAACCTGCCTTGAACTGGTTTTTGGCCGATTGAAGCTATTTCTGACTTGATAAACAGATTATTGAAGTTTAAACTCTTGAAAAAATACTCTGTTTGTTGAAATGCCCCTCAACGGCAGTTAGGTGTTTTGTTACCAGTGCAACTAAATGTAGTTGAGAGGATTAAGCTGTTACGTGATTTTGAGATACGCTCTCCTCTCCCCAGAGCTGTAAATGTGATTTATCAACATAGGCTGAAAATTATCCTTTTCTGACACCCGAGGAAAAGTTTGCTTCAGAGAGATTAAAGCTTAGTGTTTTAATTATATATGTAAATGAATCATCTGACCTTACTATTTCAGGTCTCCGCAGTACTGTGTGACGATGAAGTTATGCTGACCATTAAGCCCGGTGAACATGGATCTACGTATGGAGGAAATCCATTAGCTTGCCGTGTTGCAATAGCTGCGCTGGAGGTTTGTGTGTTGTAATAGGGATTTGGATTCCAGAGGAGACAGGGCATCACGCTGACGTGATCTCTGCTTAAATAAGTGATATTATTTGTTATGCTACAAGTAGAAATCTAGCTTTAAGAATGGAAAAATTGGTACTGGTTAACTGTTGGCATAGATCACCAAACAAATTCTGAAGTCTTTACTGGAAATATGTCCAAATTTCTATGTATGTTGTGGTCTTAATGTCTTAAATGACAAAATAAAATATATCTAGGGGAAGTTCCAAGGTGCTTACATAATTTCTGTAAAATAGTTTTCCTAATTTCATTAAGACATTTTTTAATTGACTCTTTTTACTATACTGTAGTGCAGAGGTTGCTGCTTTCTGAGCTTAATAACACACACATGCTACTGGAGCTCCAACAGAATCTAGTAAAATGTCTTGTCCACAGTCCATATTTTAATTATTCTGTGACTGCATAATTGCCTGCATGTAATGCAGGTCACTCGGAAAGCCTCATCGTTACCCAATATGTGGACTTGGGCAGATTAAAAGTCTTCAGGGGTTTACTGTTGCCTTGTAAATAACAGCAAATGAAAAGCAGTTAATTCGGAATAAAAATTCAAAGAGATTATTGTGTCTTGTAAACACGAATGATTAAAGGCTTAATACTAATCTGCTTGGATGCGCAGCCTTTGCAGTGACACTTGGGATACAACAGCTTTTGTATCTTGGCAACTGTGATGTCATTAGTCATCCATTTCAGCATGGTACGTGAAACAAATGCAATGCCCATCGGTTGACTGTAGATCTGACTTCCCCTTAGGTAATTGAAGAGGAAGAATTGGCTAAGAATGCAGAAATAATGGGTAATATACTAAGAAATGAGCTCATGAAGACACCATCTGATATTGTAACTTCTGTAAGAGGAAGAGGACTACTAAATGCAATTGTAATTCGGGAAACCAAAGGTAAGAAAATATAATGAACTGCACAACCATGGAATGAAAAAATATTTTTAATTTAGGTTGAAAGTATCATGATGGAGGATGCATATACGTAGAGAGAGACAACCTATTTAGGTTCAGATCTTGGCTAGAGTACCTACTGAAAACTTATTCAAGTGACTGTGTGCTATTAAAAACGGGTTTCTTTACTAAGTAATTCTGAACACGGTTTGTCTTTTTTTAATTAATTATTTTATGATTTCATAACATTCAGACCTGATGGTGAATCTATCTCCCAACAAATACCCTTTTGTCTCCTCACCTGAACAAAACTGACCCCATCTGCAAAGGTGGCTTCTGTCAGATGACGGACAGATTGGCCAAGGTTGGTTGTTCCAGGATAGTTAGAGCGCAGTGAATACAGGAGGGCGCAAGGAAGGAAAAAGCTAATGACTGAGAACAAGTTTCTAGGGATTAACACCTTGTATTATATCAGAAAACGGCTTAAAAGCCAGAGCAGACAATTATTTTTGAAATAAGTATGCTAAGTGACAAAGTGCTGCAGGGAGATGTCATTTCCTAAGAAACGCGTGTGACACGCTGAAATCCATAGAAGGTTCACATTTATGCCTGAAGTCCTCTCCAGGTGTTCTCCTATCTCCCTAGACGAGCGCTCAGCTGTGAAGGAGCAAATGCTTTCTGTGCTGGAGGCAAACTTGTGAACCCCTTCAGACAAACTGCAGGTTTGCAGCAGCCTCGCAGGTTCACTGCAAGTTCTGGGGTGTCGCTCAGAAGTGAGCGCCTCGTTTGTGAGCAGGAGCCCGCTTCATCCTTTCGCTGCCGGAAGGCAAACAGTTTACAGTCTGGCCCCACGTACTGTGTGCTGCAACCCTGCCGCTTTTGCTGCTGTAGTGTTCTAAGTGTCTCTCTCTTTTCCCTTTAATTGCAGACTATGATGCCTGGAAGGTGTGTTTGCGGCTTCGCGATAACGGACTTCTTGCCAAACCGACGCATGGTGATATCATTCGGCTGGCACCGCCCCTTGTGATTAAGGAGGATGAAATCAGGGAGTGCATTGAAATAATTCATAAGACCATTCTGTCTTTCTGAACACATTGGCTTTTAAAAAATATATCTGCTGACTGACCCACGGTGGTGTGTTGAAATATGTGCGATGAAGGCCTGCTCTTGAAGCAAGCATCTCTCATTCCTTCTATCTAAGAGGACTTAACTCTTAAAATGTAGCTATGTCTTTAAATTATAATGGCTCTGAAGAAAATAAAGAATGATTTCAAAGAGTTTCCAATGTTGGAGTACTTGGAAATAAAGTGGTGAGGTTCTGTTCATCTAGTCATGTACCTACTGGACAAAGTCAGAATGTCTGGGGGGAGATATCTGTGAAAATGTTTAATAACTGAAAGTCTTGGCCAAAGTCTAAGGTGTGATTTATATTATTTCATGGTCTTGCCCTCCCGTATGACTCTCCAAAACACCACATTTGGCATTTTTGCCCCTTGGTGTAGGATGGAAGCACTTGTTATTTTGAATGAATTTTTGTTTCTCGTTTGTAGCTTGCAAAATCTTTGAATGCTGAAGGTTTGACAAACTGGTGGTCGTGCTGGTGAACCTGATGACCACCGAGCTGTGCTCTGTATGTAAAACATTTTGATTGTATGACAAGAGATGCCGTTTTCAAGCCTGGTCTCAGTATTTGGCTTTGCAATCTTGTAAAATAGATCTGGCCATATAGATCTGTTTTTACTGCTATAAAACTTTCTATAATCTGGATGCTTATATTAAAATATGCCTCGCATTAAAAACAATAAGTTACTGTGTAACTAAAATGCATGGTGTGTTTGAAAAGAGCAAGTCCCACAGAAATTTGCTGTCACCTCTGTCCTGAGCCCCAGCAAGCGCTACCTGTGTGGTCTTTGTGTTTCTGTCAGTCTTTACATGGAAGCTGCTGCTGTGCTTTTTTACAGGGTGAGTGCTTCTGTGCTTGCGTGCCTTCGGACGCTGCCAATGCAGTGTTCTGTATACAGTTGTGGAGTTGGCTGCTATTCCTAGGTTGTTTTTTATTTCATATTTCTTAACCGAGCTGGTTTTAGCTGAGACTAAACCCCAATTAATCCCCATTAATGCAAAATGTTCCCTTTGCCAGGTCCAGGGGTTAAATGCAGTTACATGTTCGTAATTGGAAGTGGTAAATAAGCCCTTGGTATTTTAAAGGCAACTGAGTTTATGGAGATGAATCAATCGGCTGGTTGGGGTCACAGCTGTCTACCTTGTTTTGGGTGAGACTGTTTGCTGTGGGTGAAGCAAGGCTGATTTCAACTTGGAATGGCCTCGCTGTTGCAAGGGGTAATGTGTCACTGTGCCTGTCAGTCCTAGGAGCAAGAAAAAAACGCAGAGAAGTGTTGCCTAGGAAGTTTGGCATTTCTGAAAGCTGTTCTGATGTCATCTGATTGGAAAAGAGTGGAATAACTGAAAGAAACTGTAATGTAAACAGCATTTGCTGGAGTCCTTTCAGAGACCCCAAAAATTCCTTAGTAGCCAAAATGTTTACTTTTGTAGGGTAATGGGGCTGGCCAGGATGGAGGACACAATGAGGTCTTTTTCCCTGCCCCAGTCATAGCTGTGACACTGGTTGCCTGAAAGGGCTGTAGGGCAGAAGACTCCAGTGTTTCAGTCCTTCCCTGCCCTAACTGTTAGTGCGTCTCCCGTCCTGTTCTCCATCTGTTGCTGCCCTTTTAGACCATCAGACTCCAGAGAACAGGTTATTTTCCTGCCCTGCGACAGCCTTTTACATACCTAAAGTCTGTTACTGTTCCTGTTTCGGTCATTGCTCCTTCTCTAGTTAAAATCCTGTCTCTTTCCTGAGAGCTAACGTTTTTTCTAGAGCCCTTCATAGCCCTTGCAGTTCCGGGATTTGCTGCTCCGGCTGTGCCCTGGCTGACGCTGAGCAGAGCTGGACTAGTTCACGTGGCCGTGCTGGGGTTTATGCCCCGGTGTTGTGGTTTGAGTTTTCCTGCAGCAGCATGATATTTTTATCTCTCATCCTGTGCTCTCAGACTCCCTTTTGTGCAAACCGTTTTGAAGAATGGCTTTGAAGCTGGTTTTCCCCATTTTTTCATTTGTGTAATAAGCACGAATTACAGGCATGTAAAATTTTGTGGTCTGTTCTACTGACTTTCATCCTGTATTACAGAGGATTTTTCTCAGGCTTTTGGACATCAGCTTGATCTCTAATCTTGTCCAAACCACTTTCTGGTTATAGATTTGCTAGGCCAAGACTGCTCAGAACTCGAGTAATTTTTCTTCAGCAGACTATTGCTGACTGATTTCTGGGCTTTTTATTCATCTGATGGTTCCTTCATGAATCCAATTTCTTTGCAAGCTTATGAAAATCAAGGTATGTACAGCCTTTCTGAAGACAAGTCAAAAACCATCATCCTAAATTGCCCTAATTTTGAAGACTGGGTAATTGAGGAGTTTCCTGTTTTAACCTGAAAGTGCTCTGAGTTGCTCTCCACTCTGTTCCCACAGTCACAACTCTGTGCAAGGGGCATAGTAACTGCCTAAGCAGCTTGGAAGTTGAGGATGAAGAAGTCCCTGGAGCTCTGAGTCTGTTCAGAGCCTAAGTACAGGTTTCAGGTGGCCCTTGCAACGTAGAGTGGCAGGGGGTTCTCGCCCTTGGAAACTGGTGATGTCTGGGATGTGCCTCTAGGACATGGCTCCAAAGGAGCAGGTCCCATGTCTCACACGGTGCATTTGTCCTTCTGGGGGTGGTGGGACAAACTGCTCGTGCTTGTGAAAGAGCACTGCTGCATGCAAACGGTGAAAACCTCATGGGGAGGGAAGCACCGCAGGGATGAGGGTGTATGGCTGCAGCCCAGGAGATAAAGCAGACAAGGGTTTTATTTTTGAATGTTTGGTTTAATTACAGTTCAATGCCAGAACAAGTACAGAAATACATATATTATTTTGGGAGGGAAGACAGGAACCCAGGACTTCTCTTCCCAGGCGTGTTACCAGTCAACCTCCGCTTCAACGATAAAAAATAAACCCTTGGCAGCTGTCAGTGAGACAGCAGGAAGAGCTGAAATGGCCAAAGGAAATGTCAAAGCTGCTCCTTTTGTAGCGTGCAAAGGGGCAAAATTATAGGCTATGGAAAAGATCATCTGCCTTTGATATGTTGTGCCTGTTTTGAGAAAGAGGGGCAAAAGGGGTTTGCTTTGTCATGGAAGGTGGTTTTTGTCTGTCTTCTAGCAAGCATAAACTGGGATTTGGCCGGTTTTCCAGTGACACCGCTCAAACCTCAAACTCCAATATAGCTGCTTGGGTAACTAATACGCTTGTAAATCAGACTCTGGTTGTGTTGTCTGGGATTTTAATAAGCCGTAGAAATTTTCTTCAGGGCTTTTATTAACAAAAAAATGTAGACAACTAAAGTGCCCTTACCCGCTTAGTGCCGGAAATTCAGTGCTTTCGGGTTTGCACTTGCTCCGCTTATTGCTCAAGTATATGTAGCTCAGCCAAGCGCTGGTCCTGAGCAATGTTTTGATTGAAAGAGGCCAAAGTGGAAGTAATTTACAAATTAGTGTAATAGACACCCTGAGATGTGCAAAGAAAATATATAAGGTGTTTTGTAAAATATTGTGAGTTTGTTTTTTGCATCATACCTGTATAGGAGGTGAAGAAGTGAAAGAAGGAAGTTTGGAGAATGCCCTTTCTGTACCTTCTCGGTATTTCTTGAGTGCTTTTCTTCCTTTGTGTTAGTTAGAGATGAGCGTGTGGGAATGGCATTTCTTTAGTGATGCTGGTGTAATTGAAATTTACTTCTTAAAGGGTACTTGAAAGAGATCTGTATCGCCTATCCAGAGGGTTCAGATTCCTTTAACAAGAGCTGTACAGCGGCAAAATTTTCTATATATATGTATCTCCAAAGCGTTGCATTAAGCATTTGGCTGTAAGGGCTTAATCTGTCTCCATGCTATTGCCTGCCCATATTTTTGTGATATTTCTTTGCACCAGGCATATGAAATCCTTTCCCAGATGAACAGTGACTCTGCGTTCAGCGCTGTGCAAACCCGGGGTGGTTATCTAAGCCCCCCAAAGCCAAGCCAACATCCCTTGGACAGCCCTTGGCTTCACTGGAAGCTTTGTTGGCAGAAATAATGCCCAGTTGTGCTGGGCACCCCTGCGTTTGGCAAGGGAAGTGTGCGTGGCTTTTGGTGTGAAATCATGGAAAATATATATACTGGCATAAAAAAAAAGGATTTATTCTCTTTAAGTCTCTTTCAGTTTACATTTATCCTTAAAGGCACCATGTGAAACACTGTTGGGGAGGTGGAAAACTTGTAATGCAAGTTTTCCTTTTTTTTTTTATATAT